TTGACACAAGGATAGGGAGAGAGATTGGAGTATAGAAATGCAAAATTGGAAATATGGGATGAGAATGAGATTAGAAACATAAGACTAGCATAATTTGAATCATTCAATCGAAAGAGGGTATGGCTTTAACAAGTTCATATATATATATATATATATATATATATATATATATATATATATATATATATATATTACATATATATTAGTCATTGTAGTTTTTATTATTATAGATAGATATATGTTAGTTACTATAGTTTTTGCTATTAACATCATAACTTGCTATAAATCTCATGCCATTACAATTTTTGCTAATGCCACTTCAACATACCTTAAACTTTTCTTATATATAATAATGTATTTTATAAAATATTAAAATATATATTTATAAAGAATGTATATTTTATCTATTATAGTATATATTAATAATATTTTATAAAGTGCATTATGGTGTACAATCTAAGTTTTGAATATCTTAATGTGGCATTAGCAAAAACTATTATGGTATGTGGTAGGTGATAAATTGTTGTGGTAGCAAAAATTGTGGTGGCATTAGCAACACCTTATATATATATATATATATATATATATATTGAAATTATAATAATTGATATATTTTTTAATATTAATTTATTTAATTAAAAAATCTTCATATCAAAGATAGATGATATATATTTTTAATAGTAATCTTATTGAATTTAATAATTTATAAATATTTGAAGTCATCTATATTTTTTCTTCACAAACAAGTTAGAAGTTCCTAAAAGATTTTTTAAATAGTATATACAATTCTTAATCTAGTTTTATTAATATTCTTCTCAATAGAAGCCAAATTATTTCTTGATAAGTTATTAATTAATCCAAATGGTAGTTGAGGTATTTCTTGAAGAACAATTGAACAATAAAAAGAACAATTTTTTGAAAGATTATTTGTATATTTGTTTTTGAAAAATCTTAATAATGCTTATAGTAGATTGCAATACCACTTAAAGTTATTCCACCATTAGAAATGGATGTGGCATAAATAACAAATGATGACCTTTCTTTTGCACCATGTATGGAAATTCTTGTACCTACAAATAAAAGTTTGGTTGTATTAAACTTATAACTATTTACTTTATTATCAAAAAGTCTTAATTATGCTATAGAAAAAATTGAAATTACAAGAATTTTATTCTATGAAAAGATTATATTTTCTATCTATAATAAATTTAAAATAAATGATATTGATGAAGACATAGTAATATTAAATATCACTAAAGTATTATATGTACATGAATAATTTCAGATATTGCATCTCAAGATGATTAAAGAAAAACATCTATAAATCCTACATACAATGGCTTATAGTTCTATGTTAAATGTATTATATGTTTTATTAGCAAATTCTTTAATTAAAAAAAATATTGAAGATCTTGAATTTAACCAAGAAAAGGCTCTATAATTTTTAAATCTTAAATAAATATCTACTTTAAAACGAGGCGAGGATTTTAATAAAAAAAAATAGATAAATTTTAATAGGTATTGTACAAGATTCCAATTGCATAATTCCTATTTTAGTTGGAAAATTTTATTTTTTGAAAAATTTTCTTCTTTATTAGTCATGCTCTTAATTTTGTAGTTGCATTGCTTCTTTTGAAAATGTTGAGTAGTATGCTTAGATTTTCCACAATATAAGTCCAATCTTTGTTGATAATATTGAATTTGTTTTATTCAATGAGAGGTTTAAAATGTGCCCCATTAATTTGCATATCTTCTACTTTCAAATATATGTTTAAGAAGATGTTGGTATTGTCTTTGAATTATAAAGATGTTGAGGTTCACTTATGTTACTCTTAAATCAAAATTGAAAAATCTAATAGTCACACTTTATAGCAAAATAAATTTCTCAACTTAATATTAAAAGATCAAATAAGTTTAGCATCAATTTCATTACTTCATATTACAATCCAAATATATTATGTCAATAAATAATTATTTGAATTTATTCTTGCCTCTATATATATTATTTAATTAAAGAGCTACATGAAAATATTCTATAGATTATCTATTACATGTCTAACTTGCAAGATAAGTTTTCAACATACATAACTAATTTAATAGTATAAAATAAAAAGCATGTAAAGACTTGTGCCTTCTTTATTATTTACATTAATTATCTAAATTCTTATGTCAAGCTACCACTTTACATGCTATGATTATCTTTTTTTTATTTTTTTTTAAATAACTTATTGAACTTATAATAAAAATTTGTATGTTTGGATGTAAAATTATTATGAAATTAAAATTTCTTGGTTTTATTTAAAAAAGAATAAATTTGATTACCATAGAAAAATTATAAAATATATTTTTTGTATTTTTTGTCTTTTTTTATGAATCGCTTACAGCTTTGTATATTTTTAAGAATCTACTTAAGATAATTTCAAGTATTAAAAATAAACACTGATTTACATTTGAACAAAACATCTATTACAAAAATAGACTATAATTTTTAACATGTCAACATGATAAAAAGTAATTTGTGATGTAAAAGCTTTATTCTAATTTTATGTTTGAAAATGTACATATAAATGTATAGAACAATTTTATTAATCAGATGGATTTAATGTCAAAATGATTATTTGACATTGCTTGTTTTTTATGTCAATTAGTCTACAGTAATTATTAACTTTTATTGATAGCAATATTCAAACATCATGTAGAATGTTAATGATGTTATTTTAACTTCAAATACAAACTTACTTATTATTTTATATATATGTAAACACAAAATTTTAATGCAAAATACATCACATTATTGAACTAATAAATCTTATTTGCATTGTACTTGTTTTTCTTATGCATCACATATTTTATGATGAATAATAATATTTTTACTTCTTAATAGTGAAGTTATAAAAATATAATTAATATATTACTTGGAATTTAAATTTTAATATTTTTTATTAATATTAAAATTTTAAAATATATGAATATATTTTAACAATTTTGAGTAATAACTTAAATTTATCAACACATTACTATGCATCATTTAATTAAATTTGAAGTAAAATTGATTAATTTTCTTAATTATTGCATTGCTATTGTATAATTTAAATCATCAAAACATTAATTGATTAATTTTATTAAATAGTCAATAATTGTATAAAATCAAGTGATACATTCTGCAAGATATTTACATGATTCTTATATTATACCCATCGCGAGTGCTTTTATAAAAATCTTTGTAAAATATTATTAAAACCCAAAAATTCAAAGTATCAATTAGATTCATTAATAAATAAAAATCTTGGTTTTCAAAATAATATACTAAAAAATAAATCTTTGCAAGTAATAATTATCAAAATTTAATTCTAAAAATTTACATGGATTAAAGTGGTTGTAATAAAAATTCAATAAATTAGAACTTTCATTGTAAAACTTTCTAATAAAATTACTAATAATGGAGGATCAGGTATTAAACAATCATTTCAAAAATTGTTTTGTGTTTCAAGTTTTTAAAAATTCGACAGACTACTATTTCAAATTCTAATACGAATGTTTTATTATTATTTTTTTTTAAACAAATATTTATCTAATATTTTCTAGAACCAAGTCAAAAGTTGAAATTATCTTTATTACAAATACCTGATAAAAAAGAATTTGATTCTCTCTAACTTTAAGAGGAACTAATTGTGAAAACTATTTTCTAATAAACATAATAATGCTCTTGAAATTTGGACTAGTATCCCATAAAAATTACTTTTAATTGAAGTTCAGTTTTTTAAAACAGTTAGGATTATGATCAATATTTTTTTCGATTTAGAAAAATTCATGTATCAAATGTTTTGGTTTGTAATTGACTAATTTTAAAAATTAAATCATATAAGCCAATATTGAATATATATATATATATATATATATATACATGTACACACATACACGTGTATGTTTATCAAAAGTGTAATATTATTATATGCATTTAACACTATATCAAAATTAACAATACATATATAAATTTTTATTTTTCATTTTTTATTATTTTTGTTAATTTTAATTGTTCCAAATGATAATCTACCACACAAATAGTAAAAGCTAGTTCAACACTGATAAATCATCTATGCATGTATAAAAATCTTATAAATGTCCATTTGATACCAATTTGAAAAAAAACGTTTATTATATGAGAGAGTTATATTTTCCACACACAAATATAAATCAAATGATTGCCAACATGATGGTTAAAAATATATTAAAAAGAAACTACAAAATCAACAAACATCAGGTACTAGTTTAATAAATTTACTTCAACAGAAAACAATGCTCATGAATGACTTTGTAAACCAAGAAGGGACGTTATGGGAGTCCAATCTGGACAAAGAAAATACTCCCAAAAAAATGCATGTGACCCAATTCACTTTTGAAACATTGACCCTCCGCCGACACCCCTTTCAACTCAATTAAAGTATCACATAATTGAGAATCCAAAAGCATCCAATGAATGGCTTCGATAAAGGCCCCATTCTCAAACACAATAAAAAAAGATTTCAAATACGTTCGAGGAAATAACTTGTGCTCCTTCTTCGTGTACTTGAGAGTTCTCCAATTATTTCATACACGTCATGCTCACATTTCAATCAAATCCATTCCTCCCTTACAACCCCATCAATGCTACTCTCATCCCATTCTCCAAACTTGTGGTGAGTCCCATCACTCGCCCTGGCTCTACAGTAGCACAAAACCACACACTCTCACGCATACACTAGACACACACACTAGACATCTATGTATGCAGTATAAATATGGATATATATATACTATTAGTGTGACAAAGTTTACTAATACTAGGAAAATGAGTCACTAGTAACAAGATCTATGAGACGCGTCGCCACTCGCCGCTACGCCACAAAACGCGACGCGACGCGAGCACAGCGAGCTAGATTGCGAGGTAGAGTGCGAGGGGGTCAGAGAGCGAGCGAGGGAGCGATGAGGAGGAGGGGGGGAGTGCAATAATTGGGGGGGGGGTAATAATTGGTAGGCAGGGCAATGACCGACCGTGACGAGCGGTAGGAATTGCTCACTCTCTCACTCTCTTTCATCCTTGTTCCAAACGCACACTGTGCCACGGGCTGTAATTCATCACCGGCACCAACATCATTCTGCCCTTCCTGCTATCGCCCGAGGATTTGTGGACCCATACCGCCGCGTGTGCCCCAAGCCCGCCATTGTCCCATGCTTTAGCGAGCGAGCGCGAGCAAGCGAGTGAGAGGGAGAGCCAGACACAGCCCGGCTCAGTCCGTGATTTTGGGGCTCGGCTTCGAAGCGCACTGTCAGGCGGAACTTTTCTAATTCCGGGCTGGTCTCGCGATTCCGTTAGCATCTGGCATGCGATACGTCCCGGTGCGAGCGACATTCATCCCCATTGCGCATCGGTAATCTGTACATGGGGGTGAATTCAGTGTCGTCACGAAGTCGGGCTCTGGATTAAAAGAGTTCCCTTGTAGCACCCCTCTGCAGACGAGCTCGGAGTTTTTCGTAACCATGCGGGGAATGTAAGAGAAGCCTGGCGGGGCAGGGTGCTTGTACAGACTGCATCCCATTGTGGGTGAGAGTGAGAGAGAGAGCGAGAGGATTGCTTATATGCTTAGGGACACGGAGCCCACGTGGGTGATTTTATGCTGTTTGACGGCTTTTTGAGAAATTTCGTGTAAAGACAAGGCGAGACGGAGGAGATTAGTAGATGTGTAGACCAAGACGGAGGGATGGGGGGAGAGATGCGCAGAGCGAGCGGTGGTGACGAGGAGGTGGTCGTGGTGGCAGAGTAGCCCATGTGCGGCAGCTGACTTGCAGTGACGCATCGGCCACTTGATGCACCCATCTCAAGGGGTGGGATTTTCCTCCGCTATCATGTAAGCAAATCAAGAGACTCTGCAGGGACTACGTTCAAGAAGTGTGACTGAAGTCATGTGATGTCCTTGACGTCGTCGTTGCCGTGTGTCATCCCCGCTGTCCGTCTGTCTGCTCGCATATTGCTTTTTTTTTTTCTTTTTTTTTTCTTTTTTTCTTTTTTTGTGACAAGCGCTGCTTATTTTTTTCTCCTCTTTTCCCCCCTTCCCTCTGAGCGATCATTCTCAGCCGATTCTTGAATTTCATTTCTGTGGCGTAATTTATTTTCTCTCACTATTGTCACTTCCGTTGTTTGCAAGCTGTGTACATTGCTGCATTGTGGAGATCGTCGGGCACCTGTGCTGTTGCTTTTTCGTTTTGTTTCGTTTTTTTTTTCCCCCTTTTTTCTACTTGTGTTTACTTTGTATCTCGGCGTCGTTCTGAAGGGGCTGTGTTCTGCTTCTTTTCTGTTTGTATGATACAGCGGTGTTTTCGGCTGAAAGAATGTAGTTCCGTGCGCACTATCTCCATTGATTCTAGTGATAGCGGGTCTTCGCACTATCTCACTGATGGTGAAATCTTGCAGCTTTTTTGAGTTGTAGACTGTCTCTTTTCGGTTTGTGTCGAGGAAATCTACACGTTTTGAAGACTTACTAATGATTATCCAAGGATTGATTGTTCGCTGAGGTCGAATTGTCTCTGATTATCTTTGGACTGGAACGTATAATTTTTGTTTTCTTGACATTTCGTGAGTTTTAAGTGTATTGGTTGCTAGACCGTGTGCAGTCCTAGCGAGTAGTGCATACATTGCAGTCTTCTGATGTATCGAATGTTGTGAATGCACCTTTGATGGGTAAATCTTGTAGTTTCTGGTCCTAGTAACTGGCTAGCAACTGAGCAGAATCTGCAATTAGGTTGTTTGGTCTTTGAATCTTACTGCTCGAAATCAAGAATAATGGTATTCGAAATGCCTGAATTCCGTGCTCCTATGAAGACATCTCAATCTATCAGATGTTGCCGAAAGCCAGCCGTTCATAGTATGTAATGTCTCCAGAGGAGCTCGGATATGGACGATACTTAATTCGTTCATTTCCATTGGTTCTAGTTCAATAACTGGCATGAATCCAGATTGACAATCCCAATTTGTTTTGATGCGGCAGTGTTGTCGGTTGTAGCGGTTTCGTGCTCGTGCGGACAGGAACTACATTTTAGTTCACGCCGACCTGCCCGAGCCTTACTACGCTCATGCCATTGTGGGAGCAAGCATTGTTGATTCCGAGCAGGTGTTGTAGTGTTCTTTGCGTGCGGTCATGCCTTCGGTCGCCAATGTACAAGACTCGTGTGGGTGAGGAGGCGGAGGTCGACAGTTGAGAGTGTTGGCGGCAATGTCGGCAGGTATGCCTGGGCCGCAGCCATCTGGAGATGGAAAGGTGGTCGAATACGACTCAGAGTCTCCGTCATTAGCAAAGCTACCAGGTCCATGGCCAGCCAGCAACGACGGCCACAGCTACAATTCACGCGCTAATATGGGTTCCTGGGCTCGACGCACGAGTTTCAAGGGCATGGAGCGGGGGGCCAGCAACGGCAGCGACATTGAAATAAACCTGTCCGATGTTACCCACATCCCCAAGAATTCCCAAATCGACTCTGCCGAACATTCACCCGTCGTGAGAAGCCACGAATCAAGAGTCGCCACAAACGGGATTAGAAACGGGTTGCATGCCAACGGAACGAAGGAGATCACAGAGAAGAATGAGGTGGTCCCCTTGAAAGCAGCCGCTGGAGCACCGCCCGGGCCGTTCAACCTTGCAAAGACTAGGGACATGGATTCTGACGTGAGCAGGAACAGCAGCGGCCAGCTGCGGATAGAGCCCCTGCGAATCTTCAAAGACCCGGACGTCGATGCCATGTCTCAATCGGAGGACAGCGACGACAGATTCGTCATCTCGAAGCACTTGCACATGGAATATGAGCTTCGAGAGACGCCTGGTCTCGGTAAGCACTCACGTCTTGTCAATGAACTTGTGAGTTTGTCGATGATCGAGAGGATTGAGAAAAGCTTTCAATTGAGGAGAAACACTCGGCGACCACAACGAATTCCCTGTGCGAGTAGACGCCAAATCAATCACATAATACCCGCAATGGAGTTCGGTGGGATCTATTGTTGTGGTAAAAATTTGTGAGGTGGTTTTTATGAACTTGGGCTCCTTGTTTTCGGTTGTGAACTAAAATTCTAAAATATGTGTGCAGTGCCGTTGATCCTTTACGGCATTCAACATTATTTCTCCATTGCTGGCTCGCTCATTTTGATTCCTCTTGTCATTGTGCCTGCAATGGGCGGGACGCCTGTGAGTAGCCCTAACCCTCGGCTCGCATACCATCCTTCCTTCGGCATGCGTCTGAATTTGCGTAGCACTTATCTGAAAAATCCAGAACATCACTTGGGCTGATTTCTCGCTTGCAATCTGGCAGGAGGACACGGCCAGTGTTGTTTCAAGCATGCTTATGGTGTCAGGGCTCTCTACTCTACTGCACACATCTTTCGGATCAAGGTTGCCTTTGATCCAGGGAGCATCGTTTGTCCACCTCGCACCAGCACTTGCTATTATCTTCTCCCCTGAATTTTATAACCTCAAAGAAGATGTAAGAAACTTCTCATTATCATTAAGCCTTGTGTCTGTCATTTGGAGTCGAGTTTCCTCATTTTGGTTCCCGATTGCCTTGCCTGTTACAACTGCCTTCGCATGAGAAGAAGGCTCTAAAGCAACGCCACCACCTACTCAGAGCTATGGTGTTTTTGTTTTCAGAGGTTCAAGAAAACAATGAGGGAATTGCAAGGTGCTGTTATCATTGGTGGTGCGTTCCAAACTTTCTTGGGATATAGCGGCGGTATGTCACTTCTTCTGAGGTAATTGTCCATCAACTCCTAAGGTTCTAGTCCAAGTCAAGTTTGATAGATAAAATTCAAGTTCTAAAGTGAGCCAAGAGGGTGGAAATGGCAACCAGGCATTGCTAAGAAATTGCAAACACCATATGTCTCCACTTTCTTCTTTACGAAGCGACAGTATTTTGTACTCAATGCTCTCTAAATGTTGTCATCCTGTATAGTTTAATATAATTGATTGGGGTCTATTTTAGTCTCTTTCATTTGAGACTGTTTCCGTGTCGAGTGATAGCAAGAAACCGATCTTGTGAATGTCTAAGTGCAGGGTAATTAATCCAGTAGTCGTAGCACCGACTGTAGCATCTGTAGGACTCGCCTTCTTTGCCTACGGATTTTCAGTCGTCGGCAGGTGTGTGGAGATTGGCATCCCGCAAATTCTTGCACTTGTGCTCTTTGCCTTGGTAAGTTGGTGAGCTGGTGAGCCATTTAATTTTCCTTTTTTCCATCACCTCTTCTGCTGCTCTGTACATCTCTGCTTGCTACTACACCCTTTAAATGAGTCTAGCATTTAGAGGTTCTGCAATTTGTCTACTTCTAAGTACCTCGTAATCATATTTTGCCTCCCTATCATGGAGGCTAGGATGACCAGAACCACATAAAGTTAATAAATCTACACATCGCAATAAGTTTGTCACCGTTGCCTGTTTCTTGTTCAGTACCTCCGGAAGCTCACTGTCTTCGGCCACCGAATTTTCCAAGTGTATGCTGTAAGTCACGTCTATTTGCATCTCTTCCTGCTTCGTTCTGTTTATTGCTTTGCAACTATCTCAAATACCTGTGAATGTTACCAAATGTCATAACTGGCTGTTTGTTTTTCGTGGAACTGATCCCTCTCAACTGTAATTTGGACCTCACAGGTGCCGCTGGGACTTGCACTAACTTGGGCATATGCATTTCTGCTGACGGAGTCCAAAGTATACAACTACTCGGGATGTAGCTTCAGCCAACGACACAATGCGACAGCAGTGCTCACGCCGGAGTGCCAGGATCGGATGGCAACAATGCTCAGTTGTCGAACAGACGTATCTAACGCCCTATCCACTTCAGCATGGTTCCGCTTCCCGTATCCATTCCAATGGGGGGTCCCTACGTTTCATTGGCAAACCGCAGTGGTGATGATGGTAGCATCAGTTATTGCTTCGGTTGACTCGGTTAGTCTCATCTCCGTTACTGAAAGGTTTTTTGTAATGTAGTCAAATATTGTTCTAATCATGGCCTCCCGACTCTGCCAGAATCCACTTCTTCTAAACTCTCAAGGGAAAAGGGTATGTGAACTATGAATTTGCAGGTGGGCGCCTACCATGCCTCATCACTCTTGGTGGCATCTAGAGCACCTACTCACGGAGTGGTGAGCCGGAGCATAGGGTTGGAGGGGTTGACAAGCGTGTTAGCAGGATTCTGGGGCACTGGTTCAGCGGCTACCACGTTGACCGAGAATGTGCACACCATTGCAGTTACCAAGATGGGCAGTCGTCGCGCTGTGGAATTTGGTGCTTGCGTCCTGATTGTTGCGTCAGTTATTGGTACGTTGTTTCCATATCAGCGGATCGTCTCAGACATACGTTTGTTGTTGACATTCCTCCATCAAAAGGTTGAATACCCGTGATGAAGAGAGTTCTTTCAGAGGATCTGTGTCGGTGTGCTGGGAGAGAAATTGTACTGAGTAGGTAGTCATTATGGGATGCGCAGGAAAAATTTCGGGATTTATAGCAACGATACCACAGGTGATTGTTGCAGGGCTCCTGGTTTTCATGTGGACAATGCTGGCTGCCATGGGCTTATCCACCTTGCGCTACAGCGAAACAGGGAGCTCCCGAAATGTGTTGATTGTGGGGCTGTCCCTATTTTTGTCGTTCTCTATCCCATCCTACTTCCAGCAGTACGCGTATGATCCTAGCTCGTCACTGCCCACTTCTTTTCAGCCATACAATGTTGGTGCTCAGGGACCGTTCAACACCAGTAGTAAGAATGTAAGAAGGAAATTCCTCATCACCGTTTTCCAGTTTTTCAGTGAAGATTTATCGCATGAGCTCGTCGTCACTGACCTCCCCATTCCTGTGTTTATGTGGCAGGCCAACTTTGCACTAAACACCATCTTTTCCCTTCACATGGTGATTGCATTTTTAGTGGCCTTTGTTCTGGATAACACGGTGCCAGGCAGTCGACAAGAGCGTGGCCTCTACGTTTGGAGCAAGGGCCGGACAGCTCGAAATGAACCTGCAGTAGTGAAAGACTATGGATTAGCATTCGGTTTGAGCAAGTATTTCAACTGGGTGAGATGGGTGGGCTTATAATGTGGAAGCATTTTGCTTAATGCTTGCAGTATAAAGAGTAGATTGTCTAATGTACTAACTTAAGCACATGGGTTTGTGGAAGAAACACGATATCTAGTGAAAGTGCTTCACCACTGCATCCTATCTGGTACGTTAAATTCTTTTTCCGGCCCGAACTACAGGGTCGATTGAACGAACTTACAGCAGTCCACAAAGCTGAAAGAGTGGAGCTCGCCTCTTTTGTAACAAATTACCAACCTTAGTGATCAGCTGCCTTGCCATGTGACTTGATCAGCTTCATATGAAATGTTTCTATTTATGAACTATTTCTTGGTGTTGGTTCGAGAATGATTCCTACTGAAACCCGACCTTCTGGTGAAATCATTGAGCACAACGTGTGCCTCAAGTGGTAGTGCTGTTCTCACGAGTTTGTTTGTTTTTTTTTGTTGTTGCATGACTTCCTTGGAAGGGAAGGCAAACGCAAGCCAAAACATGCAACGACTTGTGCCTTATGGAATCTGCTTTGAGGCTTACGATTGTGATGTGTGATGAAGATTGGAAAGATGCATCAATGACAGTGTGTAGCAAAACTGAGTCAAACTCTTGTAATCCTTGATCAACAATGTAGCGAAATTGGCAATAGGTTATCATAAATCATAAATTGTGCAAGATAATAGTTTAAGGTACATTGTGATAGGAAAAAATGTCTCTTTCACATTAATATGTACAAGAAAATTGTATTTAATGGAAATTGTGTTCCTTGATATACTTTTGCATCCTCCATTACAAAACAACTTAATAATTTGTCCACTTGCTTGTACTTTTATTAGCTAAAATAGCTTGGATTTGCTTTGGTTTGAGCCCTACAACATGTAAAGCTCTTCTCATTGTATCAACACTTATAGTAACTTGACATTCTTTGTGCAAATGTTAGGCAACTTGATCACATACTTGCTCACATATCATCTTTGATACATTCTCTCTTTTGTGCATAAGTGAGTACTTATGGTCAATCACTACTACAACCTCAAAGATTAGTCAATTTCTTCTTTCCAATTTGTGCAATACAACTCATTACTTATATCTCTTGTAGAAGTACCAGCTAGCAATATTTATACAAAAAGAATTATTAAGGTGTATTCCAACACTAGTAAAAAGCTTGTTTAGGTACACCATGATTATTGAACAAGATTGACAAAGAACATGTTGAAAGCTTTTAGCTGAAGTATAATCCAAATGCACATGAAAATTTTAGTTTTGCAATGTTAAATTCTTCTTCTTCAACCTCATTGTATACGATGTGGAAAAGCATGCAAAATGACTTAGTTTTATTGTACATTGTATATGGCAATTTTAATCCTTCCAAGGAGTTATTGATTGATAATACATTATTTGAATAATATTCTATATTGCTAATGGAAAGTGAATTTATAAAGATTAAAAAAGCTAGATATTATCTTTAATAATATAAACTTTTCTTATAACCAAAGGCAAAGATTTAGAGGTATAATTTTTCAATGAAATATAATAGTTAATTAGAATTATTTATTTTATTTTTTATTTATAATTAATATAATTGTAAGTTTGGATTACATACCATTGGAAGAATAGTTGTGACAGCTCAACCATTGGATTACAACAAATGTGTTGCTAAAGCCACTTAATTAAAGGTTCCAATAAACTAAAGGTAGTTGAAATCATAGTATTAAGGTAATTAGAGTGGTTGCTAAAGTGAAGAGAGGTCCTTAAGCAAACAAGTTGTGGTATGTAGATTGATAAGCTAGAATAATAGGTAAGTAGTTGAAGTCAAATAAATAAATAAATAAATAAATTTTATTTTATTTGTATAATTTAATAAAGTGATTTATTTTGTGATTATGATTTTTTAATGATTTATTTTTAATATTTTTTGAACTATTAAGATTATTATAAAAAAATCATTAAGGTTAGAAGAAAGGATTGTTAGAGTTTTTTAGAGGTAGAATTTCTCAATATTTGTAGTGTTTGTTAGAATTAGGAGTATTTTTTTGGTTTTTATTTTTAATGGAAAAGAATTCACAAATTTTATATGATCTAAATTCATTCTTAGAAGTATTTATGACTGCATTTGAAAAAAGTGATTGACAAAAGAGAAAAGAAACAAAGTTTTAACTTTTATAACAATAGTCATAGTAAGTTATTATTTATTTTGTTGAATTTCAAAACCTTACTTGTAACATGGATTGAAATGAAAAATCTCTTATTTATCAATTTCAATATGTAAAATTTTTACTATTAATAATGTAAAAAAAAATTATTAGAATAATTTATTATTGAAGTTATTTCATAAAACAAATGATTCTTTCAAAGATACTAAGAACAAAGATTTTATTAAAGAAAAACAACTCAAGTCATGACAACAACTTCAAAGTTTTTAGAAACTTAATTTTTAAAGCCAAATCCTAAATAAATTGATATAATTTAATTTAAGTAATTAATACTAGAAGAAAAAAAAAACAAATGCTACTATATTTTAGAAAAGCAAGTCATAAGGTATAAGATTGTTATATTAAATCAAAGGGATTCAAGGCAAGGAATGTAAATTTGAACATAAAAAAGTTGAAAAATAAAGCTGGCCAATTGCAATAGGGGCCTTTTAATTAGATAACTATAGACCATCAAATACAAATCTCATATTACTACCAAATCTTATATCTTGTTTTAAACAATCTATGGTTAATTACAAGTTTAAATTATAAATTTCTAACTCAATTATTTTTAGACACTTGAGCCTTGATATATTTTATGGATAGAAAATTTATATTACAACAAGAATTTATTCTTTCAAAGAAGTTTTGACCAACTTCAATGGAAATTCTTGATGGAAAACCACTTACATTTGGAGACATCATAAAGGAAATTAAACTATTGAAAGTGACATAAAAATATCAAATATCTAATATTATCTTTAACATCATTCAATGTCCTTCAAATTAAGTGGTATTTAGCCTCTCTTGATTTGATATATATAATCTTGATATTAATTTAATTCTTTTAATATGATTCAATGTATATATATATATATATATATATATAATTCTCAATATCATCTATTATTGATCTTACAATGGTTGAAATATTGTTATTCCTTCATAAATTACTCATTTTTGCTTCTTTATTATCACCTTTTATTTTGGTGGTCAAACTTTTTTTTGACATTGTCAAACTCTCATCTTAAATCTCTTCTTTGTTGCTTTGCTCTCATTTTATTCTGAAAATATTTTTTGTTTTTAACAAAAAAATTCCAAATAGTTCTTTAATTATTCTTATTTTTTTAATGTAGCTGCATTCTTGATTAACTCTCAAAATAAATATTTTTAATTATATTACTTTTCTATTTAGAAATAAAAATCTCCTTGAAATCAAGCCATTCTCAATACACCCAGATATTAATTATTGTAGCACCAAAACAAAGATATATTTGTTATTTTGATATAAAATTAAGTTTAAAATCAAGAACATTTAATTACAAAAGTGAATAAAATTTTATTTTTATATTTTTTACTATAAAATGAATCTATAAAAAAAAACTCAATTAATATTAATAATCATTTAAAATTTTATAAAACTATTTTTCTTGCACAACTACCACTAATCAAGTTTTCTTAACTTTTTGCACAAACTTCAAATCTATCACAAAATTTTAAAATTTTAAGTACCCACTAATATTTTTACTTTTTGGTTGAACTTAATGGTAATTTCTTTCTCCAAAAATCTTACTCAAATTCTACTAATATAATCATTTTTAAAATTTAATCACTATTAAATTACACTATTAATTTAAAATTACCATATATTCACCTCGCACACAAAAACATACAATATATATATATATATATCTAATTGACTATAAAATAATTATTTTCTTTTTAAAAAAATTTAAAAAATATCTAAACTAATTAGATTTTTTTTGTTAATGCTTAAATTAGCTAAATCTTGATTTTTGTACCTCTATTGATACCCTATTCTTCAAAATCGATACTATAAAGCCTTTTAAATTACTATGCAAGCATATTTAGAGTTAATACTTTGACATCCTTGTAGTTGAGTTTTACGTATTTTTAAAGTTGATACCTTGTTATATTTAAAGTTGATATCTTTTCAAGAATCCTTTGATACTACAACTTCTATATTACTTCTTTTAAATCTCTTTTTTGAAGGAAAAAAAAAAAAAAAAAACATACATTTTGATGTATCAAAATTGTATTTTAAAAAATATCAAATTTTGATGTCTTTTCTTTCATAACTCCTATGGCAAGTTAACAAGGTAGAGTTACTTTCTGTCAAGCCCTAAAAATCATGTAATGGTTACCAGTATTCACACAGGATTTTCTATCTAGCCAATTTTCTGGGGCTATTTATTCGTGTTTTAACATTTAGCTTACATTAAAATACACATAAAAAGTCTTTTCCTATTTCCAGTACATAGAGATCATCAATAAATGATTGTAAATGAGTTGGTGACTTCAGCTAATTAACTGATGGTTGAGAAATCTAGTCACCATACACTTGATTTGTCTCAAAACTGAAAACCAAAAAATCCAGCAACAACGAACATGAAAATGAGCTTTGGGCAGTTACTCAAATCACTTTCAATCATATCAAAACCTACTGTAAGAGGCTATGAAAATTTAAAGGGCTATCATGTTCTCGCCAGAATCAACCATTCTTGCGAAGTAATCATTGTTTACCAACGCTATGCCTTGTTCAGGCACCAAATATGATACTTCATTCTTCGACTTCGATCAACAATTTCAAGAATTGAAGGAACATATTAGGAAGATGCCAACAATACTCAAGATAAATTGAATACTCTATCTAATCATTCAGCATGCGTACATTCTTTCGAATATTTCCTGGTTGTAAATGTCAACCATCACCCGACTACGTAGATGATGGTGACAGTTAAAATGCTTTGCAGCCCCAAAAATCAGGCTTCAAGCAAGTTAGTATCACCAGGTTCTTACAACTTTATACATCCATCGATCGGTGACGCTTCTGACAAAGCCTGGCCGCATTTCAAAACATCGTCTCTAATTTCGACAGTACATTGCATACATTTGACTTCTAGTACCTTGGATGACAATCAGTTTACTAAAGTTATGGTATCAAGGCCAGGAGTGTTACAAAACGTCTTCAGGTTGCCACAATTCCTTCCGTGCAAATAGGATCTTCTCATCCTCATGTGAAAGATCACTCTCGTCAGCTTCAACTACATGATGCCAGTTGGACCAGCGCAGAGCTGGGAGCAGCTTTCTTACTCGATCAACTGTATCTGCTCTATCCCGAATAATGACGAGGCCCATTGGACGCAAAATACGGTCCATCTCCAGCAAAAGATCTTTAATCCTGCAGTTTTGACCTTCAATATCTGAAAGTATAGTCCACGCGTGCAGCAGATCGTATGTGCGTGGATATGTTGAAAAAGCCTCACACCTGTACGTTCCGTCACATACGCAAGGTGTGAGCCCAAAAGTTTCACAAAACATATTTTCTTAAGGAGCAACACAAGCAAACACGTACTCTATTCAATGTGTCCACCTCCTAGGTAGACCACACAATCTTGACCACTGCATAAACCCTCATCTCTGTTTTCTAAACACGTAGCGCAGAAATGGCAGCAGACTGGGAAAACAAGTAACTATCTAAGATATCAGCAGAGCCATGTCAGCTAAATCTACGTCTACCACAACTTTGCCACACTTCAGACCAAATTCGCCATGATAGCATTGGAGTTCGGTAGTAAACTGGTCATTGAATAATAGTAAAAGAGGACAGCTCAGAACACTCGCTGAGGTCTTATGGAAAAACAGGAAGTTTACCAATTGTGTAAAGATCCAATGAAACCCCGGTCATAGACAAGTCCCAAAGTGTTAGCACCAGATGATGGCACCACATTCATAACCCAGACAGACAGATCTTTCTCCCTCAGAGCTGCTGCAAAACCTCCATAATTTGCTTTCATATCCATTACGTTCCGTACACTGCTCTGCTCTACTTGATTTGCGGCCCTCAGAGTCCTCCAATAAAATTCAACTCTTTTCTTCCAGATATTCTGCATAGAATTTAAAACAGATACACAAATTAAGCCCTAACACTTTTACATCATGCAATTCACGTTCCACAGAGCTACCAACTGCAACAATTCTGGTCATTTTTGTGGACTAGTTTAAGCTCCAAAAGACAAATGCAGGAGAAGCACTAACTTCTGTCCTAATCGAGACAAATACTAGTTGAAAAAATCTGATATCTAACTGCATTATCATGTACACATGTAAACCAAATAATGTTGGATGAAAGTTAGGAGGAATACAGTATCGCTCAGGAACTTCTTCTCCTCTATTCTGAGTTGTTTCAGTCGTGATGAAGGAGAAACCATTCTTTTGGGCCAGGGTTCAACATTGCGACCTTCATCTGCGTAGTACAAGAAAAGCGTTGGAAAACGCACAAAATTGAATCACACCGAACCTTGGACATTTCGTTTTGATAATCTCGCCTACCGAATATTTGGTCCGCTTCGGATACCCTTTTTGTTCTTCAAAGTGGGACTCACAAGCTACTACTCAGATTCGCAACCGATTTCAAAAAGCAAAGCGAACGATATACATGGAGCATTGTTCACTGCCTTAAGGTCAAGATTAATATTACGCAGTGGCAAGATGAAAATGAATAATGCGGATAACTAACCTGGAAGAGGATTAATGCATGCCTCCATGGGCACCTCCCAGGCGCTGTCCGGATCGCTAGTCTTACATAATGGAGGTACTTGATCCTCGGGTCTTTTCTCGTAGCACTCATTCGTCAGAGGTTTTTGCCAGATAACAGTCTGGTCTTGATGGGCAGCTACTGTCCAACACATGTTGGTCACAAGCTCTGTCATATCCTTCCAAATTTGCCGGTTTTCAACATCCTCACGATAAGCAGGAGGAGCAGACCAGATGAAGTATCCACCAGGTTTCAAGAGTCTATCCACTTCCAAAAGGAGAATTCCATCCCTTTGGTGCCACTCAATTCTGCATCGAGAGCAGTGGGCCAGATCAAACGAATTGCTTGGGTATGGTACACGCTTTGTGCCTAGAACACCAAGAGTGGCTGGAATACCCCTTTCGAGAGCAAATTGGATTTGGTTCTGATGAACATCGTTGGGCGCTATTGACATGGCAATTACTTCCAAAGACAGCAAATAAGCACCAAAGCTCGCAACTCCACAACCAATGTCCAACACAGTCCTGATCTTTCCATCCATACTGAGGTTTCCTTCCTCATTCTTTAACATCTGAAAGAAAGAAGAAAACACAAGGTGAAATTTGCATGCAGATGCAATAAACCCACAACCTACAACCATGAATGCAGATAGTACAACGGACCGTGGGGTGGAATAAACGACCAACTGCATTGCAATAACCGCCTATCTTGAAAAGGCAGGATTGCTCGGTATCTTAGAACTGTCAAGGTTGCATTAATGAAGATTCGACATTTGGCTATTCCGTCACACAACATTCAACCACCAGCGCATTCATCCAGGCAACTAGGAAAAACACTGGAGTAAAGCATCTGATTAGGAATAGATTCAAATTCCACACGAGACGGAAAGCAGAGATACGAATTGCAAGTAATATTTCGGAAAGCGTTCACAATTTTCTGCTGCGTGGACTGCATCGAAAGGGAGGAAAATACCTCTATAATTGCGAAAAGAAAACCCTCCAACATTATTTTGAATCTGAACATTTACTCTAATCATGAAAGGACAGTACAAAGCAAGATGTCCACCAAGACTAGAACAAGCTATAGGTTCATGAAACCATGCAAGCTGCAAGTCTGCTGTATGGGCTTGCATTTCCAAGAGTTTCGCTGATACAAATATTTCGAGAGCAACCTAATTTTTGACTCTTCCAGAATACGTTAAAAAAAATCAATTTTTTCCAGTCGAAGACATTTCAGAAAACACTTGAATGGGAGTCAATTTCTCCCACGTCAAAAAATCTAATTAGGCCATACGTAACTTTCCATCACCCAGTGTAGGAGAATTCAAAGATGCAAACATACCTTTGCAAGGGACGCAATGTATTTGTCCGCACCGTTGGGAAAGTGGGTGCCACCACCTGGAAAAATCACTTTCTGGCCATTCACAACCATCCAATGCTGGTCGGACTTTTCAATTGCCAAAAAATTGTGGGGCACATTAGATTGCCAGACTTCGTCTCTGCTTTTAGGCCATCTGATTGGAACCTGCACGCAATTACACAGCCATTCAGCTTGAAATATGTGCAGTTCATTCGAGTTCATTGCTTTTGCCACTCACACAACTGGCTGTAATTATCCTAGTTCCTCTGTACTCTGATTGATTGAGAAAATAAATAAATGCTAGCCTCTTTTTTCTGGTCAAAAGGATTGAAGCTGAGCTGAATGAATTTTTTTGCACACTAAGAAGTTAGTTTATAAATCACTTAATCTTGATATGTCGGAGGGGGAGGGGAGGATTAAAATAAAATCCGAGTAAGCCCTAAATGGAATAGCGGAAAACGGTTCCATCAACTAAAAAAATCTTGGATTGATCTGTCCTTTAAAATGCTCAGAGTATGTGATACCTTGTAGTTAGGAGGAGGAGGAATCAAGCATTGAAGTCGGTGCTCTTGAGGAGGGCAATGCCTCTCATAGTGCTCCATCAGGGGGTGGTTCAATTTCAACTTCAATTTCTTATTCAATTTGAGGTCCAGGCAGGGGATGGTCTCAGAAAATTCAGCGTCGCACACCTGCACATTACAAGCATTGATCCTCTATAAATCACTACAACGGTGATATTCAAAAATCACCCCGCATCAATTCATTCACGCTATTAATGGATATGGAACAAAAATGAAACGAGTGCAAGAAAAAACACTGAACGTGAACTTTCAAAGGCCACCTCGACCAAAGCAACTGTAGAAAGAAGAGATTGATAATTCTTCTGGAAAGTGAATGGAAGATGGCAATGATGGCCTAGTGTTGTCACAACCAACAGCAAATCGGTTGGAAAAAAAATAGTTGACCAGAGCTAGTGATTTACATCTTAGAGCCGCTCCTCATTTCGAAGAGTGAGATCGGACTAAGAATCAAACAGCGCGTTAAACACCACAAGTCTACTGCACTTACAGGAAACGCTTCCAGTGTGTCATCGGTGGATGCGATTTTGTCCTCCGATTCCTCGTCATCGGAGGCCTCAGATCTTTCACCACTGGCGTCCACCTTCTCCGACACCTCACCTTTCTCGAGGACTGTATTCTTAGAGTCAACTACGAGATTAGCCTCCAAACCTGAAGCCGATGGATCGAAGATGTAATGTACAGCGAGCTTGTTCCTACGATTGCTGAAGAAGGAGCCGAGATACAAAGAGACGAGTGAAAACATGAGCACTAGAGTACACACGGTGACTAACACACGGCGTTTCTGAGCATTGATATCGTTGCGGCCCCTCATCCTTGAGTTGGCTGCTGATCGGCCAAACATCTCTTCGCACAGACGTTTGGCTCAATAAGCGCTACATGCACTGTTCGAGGCCGCAACCTAAATCTTCACCGTATCACCAGCTCGCGCAGTCCTTCACTCTCCACAGCTACTCACTGCGAAGATAGAGAAAGATAATCCAACGCGATCCTCGCTTCAGTATGCCCTGAGGATCTCTCTCAGGTCAACCTGAATTTCCCAGCAATAGCACTTCTAAACACACTCACTCATAGCATCCAGACTCCAGAGCAGCACAACAGTTGCCTCTGCAAGAACGCTGTGAAAAAAGACCTTCCTTATCTGAACAAAGAGAATTCACACGCCTACGAAGCTCAGCACATGTACCACACAGCGTGTACTACTCTGAACAGTCATCTCTTCATTTGCAACAAAATTCAACTAAATTCGTAACAAAAAACCAGAAGGCATTTGCGCTTAATTACAGTAGTTTCTATCTCACCTTACACTTCCCGCAGACAATGCCAGCTGCAGTTGGTTTTCCAAAGGCTCAAGCACAGCACTGTACACCACTCCACTACTCCACTACCGTCGCCTCCTCACCAATGTAACTATGTCGAAGCCAAAGGTCTAACTGCGACTTTTTAGATCCACACCAGACAGCTCGCCAGCAGATGAGACCCTTCAAGGCGCCACCGTCTCCTCCCAGACACGAGCCTTGATACCTCAATACCTACCGGCAGACATGATGCAATCAAGGAATCGCATCACCCGGCCACTGGTAGCAGCAGACATGCTGTAGCATGCATGACACAGATTTGGATGGAAACCGCGAGCCGAGAGAGAGACCGGAAACCTGCTCACACGAAACCGCGATGAGGGAAGGAAGGCATGGCCGAGGCGGACTGAGAGCAGCATGGCCTGCGCAGCAGCATGACCGCAGTATTAGTAGTCGCTCCTTCCTTCCTTCCTTTCCTTCAAGGGAACCAGCAGCAGCAGCTATCGGGAGAAGTAAAAGTGCGTAACGCCATAGCTCTGGACCTCCTCCTCGTTCTGCTTTGCATCATCTGGTGCTGCAATACATCACTACTATTACTACTGCTAAGACTACTACTACATGCCCCCCACTCCTGCGCCATCATATCCATCAGCTTGGACAACTGACTAACTAACTAACTAACTAACTAACTCCCCCCTTCCCTCTTCCCCTTCCCGGGGGGACTGCTGTCCAGAATGACGCCTGTCTTTCGTCTCTCCACATTCCAGCTTTAAAGACGTGGCTTACTTTTTGATGGTAGTCTTTTGCTTTATTGGATTCATGCAGTGACAATGTTGTGAAGTTGGGCACATTTTATCTTCTTGATTAATGAACTTGTCAATTGGTTTTGAATTCCAATAGATAGATAGATAGATAGGAGAATGTTAAATAGACCCATGTTTTTACGAAATCAATCCACCCTTGATGAAGAATATGGTTATCATGATGAATATGATTGCTTGGAGATTCAATAGTGGAGAAATGAAATTCCAGGTCATTTGTTTTTTTCATCATGGATTGGTTGATTTAGTAAAAACTTGGGTCTATTTAACATTCTCATATATATATATATATATACATACATACTAAGTATTTCCTTCACATCTTGAAATATTGTGTACATCTTGTTAAAAGAGTCAATTGAATAATGTATGAAATTCATGAATGTGGAATTGTAAGCATTAGACATGTTTTTATTAATTCAATATTTTATAAAACTTATAACAATTTAATGCTAAAATAATTATGAACAATTAGTTAGGAAGATTTTTTATTTTTTATTTTTTTAAATGGATTTTTAAAATAAATATATTTATTTTGAAACAAAGTTTTAGAAAACATGCCTCTACTCAAGCTTATTCAAGATGGCAATTTTTCCTATTTTTTATTTTTTATCTTTTTGCTCTCTAAGATAAAAATATATGAATAAAAATAGTATATAAATATATTTTTAACATTATAGTTATTATTAAGAAAATTAATCCATTGATTTTTTAATATTATGATATAATATATTCTAATTAAATATAAATAAAAACATGTAATTTTTTACATGTATAAAAATGACTTATTCTTCATCTTATAGATTAAATAGTATTTCACAAGATATAGCACACTATAACTTATATACAACTTACTATGCAATTTTGAAATTCAAGTCTTCTTTAAGCATTTTTCCACTTTGTGAAACCAATAATTTATTTTTTAAAATTAATTTTTTTAAAAAAAAATTAAATTCACAATATTTTTTAAAATAAATTAATTTTGATAGAAGCTTATAATTAGATAGAATTTTATTTATTTCAACTAAATTTTGATTATGAATATTGATATATATATATATATATATATATATATTTTAGCTTATTTAGATGAAATTAAATAAGTATTTTTATAAAATATTATTGAAAAGATATCTAAAATTTAATTTATTCTATTCTTCTAAAGTAATAAAAAGACTTCAAAGATGTATTTCAAATATTACATAAAACTTCTTGTCCAAATCCTTGAAATAGAATTTTAAAACTAATTTCCAAAAAAATAATATAAGTTTTATAAAGAATTTTATACAATCTATTGCACAATGAGTTTGTAGTATATAAAAGATGGAGTCATATGTTTTATTTCTTAATAAAAAATTTTGTTATATTTTTAATATTTATAAAAATGTAATCTTTAAAAAACTAAAGATTTAATTTGGCATATTGTAACAAAGTTCTTTACCATTTAAATACTATAATTTGTTGTGATAAAAGACATAAATTTATCAAAAAAAATTCAATTCTTTTTAGATTTGTATGCAAATTTTTTTTTCGTTATATTTTTAATTTTTTAATTTTTTTAAAATATTTTAAGAAATAGAATTTTTATAATATATATATATATATATATATATATATATTAGCATTAGAGCTTATTTCTTTGCTTTGAGAATATAATGTTAAATCAATGAGATGCCAAATGCTTATGGAGAAGATAGAAATTAGGCATACACCAATGTCTCTAATAATATATAAGATATTTGATTGTCAACTTTCATGCTAAGATGTAACATTGTTTTATTTTGTGCATAGAGATATTATAATATTAGGGTGACAAAATCAAGCATCTCATTAGCATATGTTGTGCAGAAACATATTTTGACTACAAATGCTCTTGATCAATTTTTAAACTACATAACATAAATTTTAGTTGGCATTTGAAACTATATAATATAAATTTGAAACTACAATAAGTTAAGTTTTTTATTTCTCAATGACACACAATTTAACTTATTTAATATCTTTAATGATTATAAAAATTTAAAATTATTTAAAATTATTTAAAATCTATATTTAAAAATTTTAAAATTATTTATTAGATCTAAATTAATTTATAATTATAAAAACATAATATGAAAATTGATTAATAAGCTTATACTTTCTATTTTAGATAATCTCTCATCTATCACTTCTTTTAATTTGTAAAGATTAATTGAAACCATTACAAGAAATAAATTCTTTTCTTTAAATAAAAAGAAAAATAAAATAAAATAAAATAAAAGGTATCAAATCAAAGAGATTAGATTGTTGCATCTCCAACACCATTTTTTCTATGGACACATACCATAAAAAACAAAACAAAACAAAACAAAAAATCAAACCAAATCAAATTTTGATGATACCTTTCAATTGGAAGTGTGTGTGTATATATATATATATATATATATAATAAATCTCCACCATGTTTTTTTCTTAATTACATGATATTAAAACATATTGTGCATGCAATCACTACCAGTTTATTCCATCGAATGGCTCCATCAAAAAAATTGTATGATTATGTTACTAATAATCTCATACACCGTTATTTCTCAAATTAGATATTTGGAAACCTTTTCGAATGACCTACCACCTCTTTGATTTTTCAAAAACTATCAAAGGTGCCCAGTTTAGGTAGAAAACACATTGTTGTTATCATACTTGCAGTTATACTTTGATTTTATTTTACCATTTGAAACCTTCAAGTTTTTAAAATGAAAGTAGGTATAACAGCAGCAAAACCATGTCATGTCATGAAATTGTTTTGTTCATTGAACAAGGACAAACAAACATATGAAAAAGGTAGTCCAATGAACATATAAACTTTTTTCATGCCACATAGACTTACATAGAGAACGTGATTATGGAAACTTTTGTATTTTGTAATATTCAACTATTATCATGAACTACAAACCTGCATATACAATTAATAACTTAGTTAAAATAAATAAATATAATACACTAACAAACACAAGCTTATTGTCACAATTCCAACCACTAAGGGTTGCATTACTCTTGCATCAAAGATAAAATGGTTATGACTTACAAATAGAAGGTTAGAACAATGTAAGACTAGTATGTAATAGTTCTTTCTACATGGATTTTTCAAGTCCTAATGTAATAATAATATAATGAAATGGAGGGAAAATAAAATAAAATAAAATAAAAAAGCATCCGCTCAACATGATAACATTACTACAAATACTTCTGTACAAAAAATACTCATGAGTTAAAAAAACATTTTCTTGGTTGTTTCACTAAAATTCATTTAAATAGGTAATAAAATAAGATATTTGGATGCAAGAAATTTTTTGAAAGTTGCAAAATAAGTTATCTAGATTAACTTTGACATACTACTCAAAATATATAAAAATAAATTTAAACTACAAAAACATGATATGTATTACTCTTGAATTTTTAGTAATAATATATATATATATATATATATATATATATATGTTAGGAATATATTCATTGATTTATATACTCAAATGTATCCTAGATATTTGATACCCCTAAACTAATATACCTTGCTTATCTAATAATATTTGCTAAATGGAGGTCCTTCTGAGGTTGTAAACTTAATAAAGAATATAAAGTACTTTATATTAATTATTCTATTGTCTTGTTTCTTGTTATTTATTCTCCTTCTGCTAATTTAAAATTTTATTTTCTCTTTGATTGAATTTGATTTCTGCAATCCTAAAATGAATATAAATTAAACAATAATTAAATATAAAACAGACAAGTAAATATTTTCAATGTATCTGTTTTCTAACTTAAAATTAAAGTGTTTTATTTTATTTCTCTTCATATTGAAGCTGCAAGCATAAATTGAATTTTATCCACAGTTCAAACACAACTCTTAATTAAACCGTAAATTTAATTTTATACTAAATTTAAGACTTTACTGAGTTTTTTTTTACTGATTCTACTAAATGAACAACTAAAGAAAATAAAATAAAGAAAAAAATATAAAATTATAAAATTACAGTCCATTCAAACGTCTGAAGCTCTGATTTAGAAAATTTAGAAGAATGTACTTTTTTAGTTTATTGATTCATAAATTTGCACATAAAAAATACTCAACACAAAACAATTAGTCATCGGTTTCAAATGAAAAACAAATAAGTAAATGGCAGGCACACCTAATTATTTATCTACTATTTTATTATTATTTCATTCTCCATTATGGAAAGACTTAGTAACCTTGTGCTGTATTTCACATTAATAGAAACATTAATATTAATGACTACTACAAAAGCCTAGAAAAAAAAACATTGCAAATTAACCCTCACCTGCATTAAGTATCACCATCAATTCCTCTTTCTAGTCTTAAATTTAATTCTAATTCTATTTTTTTGTAACATCAATATAAACAGCTCATGAGATGACATTCCAAATCCTACCCATTGTTAATTCTTCTAATAAATACTTGATTTTCATATTTGCTAAAACAACATAATTAGATTCAATGACTCATTACATTCAATTAAACCCAAAATATATATATATATATATATATATATATAGAGAGAGAGAGAGAGAGAGATACATATGTATATGAGAATTGATACATTGATGGGAGCTTTTACAAGATTGATGGAGTTTTGGCCACTAGTCCCCACTATATATATATTTCCGTATATGTATTCATGTTTGTGAGGACCCCCAAACATGAATAATTAATTAAATGGTGGGGTTGAAAAGGTTGTCGTATAAAGTGAATTGGGGGATTGAAAAAGTGAAAGTGAGGCATCTTTGCCCCATAATGTTGTGAGATGTGTGAATGATAACATGACCATGTAAGCATGAAAAAGAGGGAATTAGAAAAATGATTGTTATGGGGAGTGGGTGGGGGGACTATTTGTAGTATTCATTATACCCATGAACCCAAGGTACAATTATAATTATATAATTTTTTAATTTCTTCTTTTCATCCACATTCATCCGCTCGTCTTCTCATCCGTCCATCATGATGCATCACCTCCAGCTTGTTTAGTAATTGGCTGCTCCTCATTCCTTTTACTTTTTGGATGAATGAATATACGAATGACTCAATGAATGAATGAATTCGAGTTTGCAATTCGGGGTCATTGCTTCACGTCATTTCATTATTGCAGGGTTTTAGGGTTCTCACTGGATGATGTTTTTGGATGTATGACTTCTGTGGATGTGGGAAGGGTCTCATCCACATCTTTGAGTCACAGTAATTCACTGTCAATCCGCAAAAACTTAGTTGATATTAGGGTTGTGGAGAAAAACCTCACCATTACACCCCAATTTAAGTATATACATACATACATGTATATATATATATATATATATATATATATTATCAATGTTTTGGTCATGCAAGTAAAAACATGATCCTTCAATCCAATATTGCTTTAATGTTATACGTAAGAATAATTCTGCAATTTTTTTGATAGATTTTGCACCATTTCACTTTCTGGTACAATAATTCCTAATTCATGGTATATATATATATATATATATTTATTTATTTATTTATTTTATGACCATATCAAAGTCAAATACCTTGGTAATTTGATCTTGAGGAAACACTTCTCAATGATAGTTGATTCCAAATTTGGATCTGAAAATGAAAAATAATGAGCTTGCTCATTGAACATTCACATTCTATGCTATTGATATAGACTCTGCAGCCAAAGAATGTTTTCATTGTGGGTTCATGTTTCTTCTTGAACATGACATTCAAGAGACCCAGGTCTTTTGTTTGTCAACATGATATGAATATTGTGATGTGCATGTGTGTGTATGTGTACCTTTATGTTTGATTTGAAAGATGAGTCCTAGTATTGTGGCATTGTTGATATACATACATATACACATGTATGTGTGTGTTGGGGCCTGTGACTACTGGATTTTTCTCCTGGTTTATGTAGGAATTACACTTCAATGATGTCCCGGAGGCAAACCAACATTGACGTGCTCATGTCCAAGAGAAACAGTATCATCACCTGACAGGTGCCTTTTCATCAACATGTCCATACTTCAGAAAGTCTGGAGCCTACACAAATACAGGAAGCATGATGAAAAGGGAATACAACTGACTGCACAGTGCGCTAGTACTCTCAAGGTGAAAATTATTCGAGCTGAATGTTAAGTATGACACAAATAGCACACTGGTTTTAAAAAAATGAACGAACATAATCAGAAGACAAACAATGACTGAGAAATCATTCCATATGTGCGAATACGCGAATCCAGTCATACCATTACCATAAACCAATCAAATTAGAAGATGTTCAGTGCATAAAATTGAATAGAATCACTACACGAAAACAGCAAGGCAAAACCATCACTCATAAAGCTACAAAATTGATAAGCAATATAAAATGAACAAGCCAAAATGCATGACGAAAACATTCTTTTTTTTTTTCACTGCTTTCGTACCAAAACGCAACATATGGAAACAGTCATTTTCTTCACTGTTTTCGTGCCAAAATTGGTAACGGCATCTAAAAGCGGCTACCCATCCTTGACAAGCTAACCATGCGACCACCTGCATCTGTTGCCTGTTGGGCTCTATTGACGCCCCCGGAAGCTGGTCCTGTCTGGTAAGGAGTCCTGCCCACACTACTGTATGCGTCCTGATAACGGGTGCTTTGATAACCACTGTTGTAGCCCCGGCCTCCTCCTTGCCCACCGCGGTTGTAATTGTTGTATCCTCCCAGGTTAGCGTTGTCTCTACCCGTACGACCTCCTGTGAAATTATCTCTGTTACCACGTCCACCACGTCCACCCTTAGAACCTCCACGACCTCCCCCGAAATCTCCCCCACGCCTGCCCCCTGCGGCATCAGCGTAGTCTTGACCGTCCCTGTTGCTGCGACGACCAATCCCCTCCATGCCTCCGCCACCCATGCGCGCATCGAATGCTTTCTCGTTGCTCTCCACCAGTACATTCAATTTCTCAGCGAACTGGGATGCCAACGCTTGCAGCCTAGTAGGCTCCACATTGTGCGTCACGATGCAACGCGTCGGCTGGTCCCAGCTCGCGTGGAGCTCCTCTGAGATCATCATCTTGCTCACTATGCTGTGCACCTGGGCTTCTGGCAACCCAAATAACGCCATCAACTGGTCGAGACTCAGTGAATTGAAGTACGGCGAGTAGGTGAAAATATATGTGCGAAGTGCCTCCTCCTGAATCTTGCCCCGAAGCATCTCCATGATCGCCTCCCGCTTCCCCAGGAGTTTCCACACGTCCATACTCAAGATCACCTCCACTGCCTTCTCCCACTCACCTTTGCTCAAAGCCCGCGTGGCTGCCATCACGTGGTCCCGAACGTTCTCCGGAGGACCCGTGAACGTCTGCTTCTCGTTGATGTCCAAAAACCTACGGAATGGCTTGCTAATCACCTTCCGCTTCATGTCGTGCACGCTCGACGCCATATTTGGCACCTCCAACAGCATCGCCGTAACCAGATGCACCGCCTCCAAAAGCTCTAAATTTATGTGCATATGGAACGGCATCTGTCGCCTCCTCTCCAGCTTCTCCTGCTCAGGGTTCTTCTCATGCCAACGACTCTGCTGAACACCCTGCGCCAACAACTCCTTCACGCGGCCACCGGCGTACAGCTCAGACAGACAGTTGTGTGCCTCTACCACTAACGACTCCCGGAATGCGCACAGGCCCAACTGTGCCATCGCCCTGTTGAACAGGATTTGAGTCGAGATATCCATGTTCATGACCGAATCCTGTAAATGGCTCATCAGCAGCAGATCCCTGGCCGTGTAGAACTCGCCAGAGATAGCGTGCTGGTAGATATCGCACAGCATCGCCCGAGCTTTGGTGCGCTCGTCCCCATGCTTGTATATCAGTGTGACCAACTGATCCATCAGCTTCCTGTTCACACTAGGAAAAGAGGCTCTACGCGGAACAATCTCCGGAGTCACTACGAACGCAACAGGCCCTTTGGCCTCAGTACCTGCCTTCATTGCACCTTCTCCGTCCTCCTCTTCACCTTCTACATCTGCCTCCGCAGCAGCACCCGAGCGGCTCTGCAGCTCCGACAGCTTCCTCATCGCCTCGTAAACCTCTTGCGGCTTGTAGTACACATGTTCCACCCGCCTCAGAGCCACCCTAGCGACTGCCTTCATATCCCCTAGCCTCTCAACATACTGCTGAACATTCTGAGCCAACGCCATGAACAAAGGCTCGTCCCGCAGTCTCTCAACGTAATCCTTTGTGTGCGGATCAATACACTGCAGACTCTTAAACAGTTCGTCGTCGCACCGCTCCAAAAATGCCACCACATTACCCCACACATGGATGGGTCCTTCATGATCTGCTCCCTTCTCCGTCTCGTTCTCTACCTCTGGCTCTGAAGTATCGTCCATTGTGATGTTCGGGTACTGAGCTAAAATGTCCAATATCACCAGTACGTTCTGCACACACTTCTTCCATACCGCAATCGGCATGTGTGTGTTCAGGCTCGGATTCATGTCGAATTGAGCAGACACCACGTGCACCATCACCTCCAGCTTCTGAGCAGGGGTCTTTGCACACCTAGCCAAATATGACAACTGCTCCACTTGCTCGACACGGTCTGTGCCTTTGCGCCCACGAGCCACAATAATCTCTTTCAGCTTCTTGTCCACCATCTCCCATGAAATCTGACCAGGGTTCAACTTTGGGAACATCTCCTTGGGCTTCTTTTGGGCGGTAGTCCAGTCTCCTTCACCGTCATCCGCAGCGTCTGGATCATCTGAGAGATCCTCTGGGCGATCGGTGGGATCAATATCATCGTCATCGTCACTAATGAAATCATCTGCATTATCTGCATCGTCTGAGTCGGACTCCACATCCGATTCCGGATTGACCCTGAACTTTTCGATGTCAGCTTGGTACAACAGGTTGTTCTTCTTCATCTTCTGCTTCATGAAGTTCAATGCTTTAGCATTGCTGGGACTCATCTTCTTCTTAGCCTCCTTGTTAAGCAGAGTTTGGCTCAGAAAATCTTCAAGCAATACAAGACCCTTGATGTACACGCGGGGTGCAACTTGAGATTCCGCGAGGCGGTTCACCTTTTCCAATTGCTTGTTCAACCGCTCAAAACTCTCTTGGAGCTGAACCCAATCATTAATTTTGATATGATTTTTAATCTGTTCAGTAGTTTGCACCAGCTCGTCATAACGCTTATCCTTGGCGGATCGAACCACTCGCCGTTGGTCGTCAGACTCATCACTGTCCGAGTCACCGCCTCGCAAATACTTGGAGGCGATTTTCTCAGCTTCCTCTCCACCGATAATAACCTCCGCCTCATCGTTATCGGAGAACTGGCTGTCTTCATCACTCTCGCTGTCGCTCTGCAGCCAATGATAGATTCCAGCGGTAAGTACTTGAATAAACCCTAAACTACAACTTCAAGCGCCCTCTAAGCAGACTGAACGAGAGAGGGAACGGGAGACAGGGCGAGTCTAATTAACTATTCAGAGGCGATCTCCAGCATCCTCGAAACGATTCAACTTACATCCTCCCATCTTATGCACAGTGGAGTATCAGGAATCACGCACCCTACCCTAGACCTAATTTTCTAACCCATTCATTTCTCAAAATCAATACAACCATCCCACATTCTCTGCTCGCGTCACATAGAACGACCGTCCCAACCCTCTCTCTTTCCAGAAGAACGTAAACTCCGACCCCCAACACCAGCGCACGAAACATAGCAGAGAGGATGCATTGAAGGCAGGAAAATGGTAAGAGTACTCACATTGCCCCAAAATTTGGACGCCATGTTGCCGCAAGCGGTGGTAGAAAGGGGAAAAGGAGAGGAAGAGAGCGTGAAGAAGGATGAGCTCAAGAGTGGCCTCCTCGCTGAAAGCCCTGCGTTGCGCAGGATCAGCAGCGGCACCAGGCACCAGCTGCGAGGAGCACGAAGACGACAGGATGAGTCGCGCTCCGCCAAACCCTAAAAACCTGATTGGGAACTCAGGTCCTGAATAGGGCATGTTAGGGACCTCGATCTCGTCCCCTTTCAAGCCCATGTCTCTATTAGTCTGTCCCTCCATTTTGGGATCTGGATCCATGTCCTGTTTTATCCATCACATTGGATTCGTGATTATTTCCAATGTGTTGGTTCTATACTGATATTTTATTATTTTATTATTTATTTGTATGTCTTTAGGGGTTTTAAATGTAGGATTTTAAATTTTAAGCATAAAAGTACATATATTTGATTCTGAATATATCATTTAATCTTCAGGAATAATTCTGATGGGAAGATACAGTTTTTTAGCAATTTGTATCAAAATGTTTTTATACCAATTGAGAAGAAAAATTTATAAAATAATTTTATCATCTCAATCTTTTTTTTCGTGAATTAGTTTCATTAAAATCCAACCATACATTAGAAACAAAACAAAAATATTACTGGTGTTATATGTGTGTGTGTGTGTGTTTCCTTGCATTCCTGGTTTTGATTGTTACAAAATTTAATCTAGAATAAAAAAAAAATAGATAAGATTGTATTTTTGTGCTAGATTTTGTCAGACATTGATTGGGAAATTGTTATGTAGCACTTTTTGAATGCATATACAATGAATTAACGAAAATCAATTACACAGCATGTGGTTTAAGAGATTTTATTTTTCTAACCACGAAAAAAAAAAAAGACAAAACAAAAAACAAACAAAAAACAAAAAAAAAAACAAAAACAAACAAAAACAACTACAACAATAAGTGTTCAATACTAACATGTGCTTCTATGATGTATGTGTTTATAATTTATGTACTGATTATGTATACATACAGTTTTACTTAAAATGATGCGCTTTACAAAAAATATGGGTTTCAGTATTTTAATGAAGGTAAACATATTTTTTTATATTATCAGGTTATTTTATTCTTACTTATCATTTAATAAGCATTTTTTTATTAAGCATTCAAGTAAAATTGATCGATTTTGATTGAAAAGAATAAGAATAAAAAAAAGTATCTTAATGTTTATGAAGCTTAATTCATTGTAATAGTGTATTTATTTTATTTTATTTTTCCTTTTTAATCTTTAATTCTCGATATATCTAATAATTTTTTATAACAATCAACATTGTACATAAAAGCTACTTTAATTATTCTTAGAAAAAAATCTTTAAAATTACCCATACATTAAGTTTTTTCTTTGAAGATAAACACTTAAGACCAATTCTGAATCATACAAGCTAGTTTAGTTTAAATTTGATCACAAGAGCTTTTAATAGCTTTAATAATTCTTCAAAAAAAAGGTGTAATTTGACAAAATACACGCATCATATACTTCTTAAAATCACTTCATTAAAGAATGAACAACAAGCACGATTTTGATGTATTGAATAAATTACCCGACACATCTCATACATGCTCTCTTTAAAAATAAGCGTATTTATTAGATGAAGAAAAAGACATATGTACAGAAGATAACATGTAATTTTGTGAAAGTGCATATAATTAATGAATTGATTAAGAAGAAAATCACTCCATATAAGAATAATAATTAAACAATTTTTACTCTATGGCTTGTTTGAAATTTGAACTGTATCACTTTTGAGAACATGTAACAATGCTTGTGAGCTTTCCAATATCTGCAAAACAACCCGCGTGATTGTTAACTATAAAAAGTAAGACTTCATTTTTATTCATGATAGATAAAATGGGTATTTTTATTTTAAAATATCAGTAAAGCTCCATGTGCAATTACTCAAGGAGTTTGAAAAAAAGTATTCAAATCACTATACGAAAATAAGATTTCAATACTGAAATCTAAAGTTCATTAACATAATAGAAACTACATTTAGTATTGTATAGATAAAATAAACATGCATTTAAATAAATATTTGTGTTGAAAACCATCCTTTAGCAACATTGTTACACAATAATTTAAAAAAAAAAACTGAAACCAACATACTGAATGTATATATATATATATATATATATATATATATATATATTCAAATCAACAATGTAAAGATACTTTGATAAACAAATAACAAAAAGAAAGTTCAAATCAATTGAATTTCAATGGTATATATTTAAAATATATGTTATGGTGATTATTCTTGCTTCCAATTATTCAAATGGTGTGTTATTTTCATTCTATATTATGATGATGATGATTATTATTATTATTCCTGTTGAATGCAACAAATATTTCAATACACCATGCCTTGGAATATGCCGCCTCAACTTCATGAATGGTTTTATCATATTCATTGGTGTAGGCATATTTCCGCAATAAAGAATCGTCAATTTCCGCAAGTCTTTTGGTAAGTATTACCAAATCCTTTTGAATGTTGTTTTTCTCTTCCTCCTCAACTTGCAAAATCTTTTTGATTTCATCCCTCTTTTCACGTAACTCTTCAATGCCTACACAACAACATTTTCTTTACATTTTACACAAACTTTTCAATTACATTATACATACAAATCTATGTTGTTAAATTGAGCATGAGTTTGTTTCAATTTTTTGATTTTGCGGAAGAATAAAATGATCATTGATGCTCAAAACTTAATCAAAATGTATACATACATTTCAACTGTATCATGCAGCATGGATAAACTCAAGATTATAACTGTCATGTATTTTTGTTATTCTTTTTATGAAACATTTAGACCTATATTTAATAGATTTAGTTCAAACGGTGATTCTTGTAAAAAAACAAGCAAACAAAAAAAGACCAAGTAGGTTAAAATAATAATGTATATTTTAACAAGGATTAGAAAAATGAAATTGATGATTTCTCTGTAACATACGATGGATAAGCTCCGTGTTGTAATTTTGCAGAGCAGCACCTTTCAAGGCCATATTTTTCTCTTTTTGAAGAAGTTAAGAAAATTAATTTACTTTCAATTTATGGCTTTTGTGTAATGGATATGATTATTTGCTCCTGTTTGTTGAGTATTAAGAGAAATCAATATATTGTTTTTAATTAAGCCTGAAATAAAATCCAACCTCAATATTTTGTAGGTTTATAATTTTATTAATTACACCATCAAAATTTAATAGTTTTTTCAAAAACTAATCCGTTAAACTGCAGATGTAATACATTTATATAATCTCACCTCTCATGAGTTCAGATGCTATTTGACCTTATCAATAATATCCAAGTATGCTTATTATTAATTATGGGGTTTTAAATAAAAATTTAATGTCATATATTAGAATACATCCACCAATTTAATACCATTTTAAAAAAATTGGAATCAATAAACTTAATATCTGCTTAGGTTTTTTCAATGCTTAAAAACTCGACTATATGATGTCCAAGGTATGCTTATTTGGGGTTTTAAAACCATCTTAAATTCGAAATCAAAAGTACACAAAAATATATTTTTTTTATTTCAATATAACATGTATTTACAAATATATACATGAATGAAAATGCATAAAGATAAATAATATACAAAACCTTAAAGCTTTTAACACCTTTAAACTATACCATTTCAACCTCAAATTTTCAATCTTGTATGTAGATAGGTGAGTTAAGTATTTATAACATGCACAAACTATTTAATTATAATCACAATTTCCCTTCAGAATTGAAATTACTTGTAATAATACTAAAAATAACGTGAGCATGTAATGTATGCAGCAAAAAGAATACACTTATTGATGAAGAAGCTCGCCAATTTAAATGCTATTTGTATTAAAAAATTATACATACTTTCTCTCTTTATTTTTCTTCCTTTTTTTCCTTCATGAAAAGAGTATTATTCATTGTATTTTTAATACTATGGAGGTATAAAAGTATTTATATAGTTTTTCAGGTCTTCACCTTTACATAGATGTAAGTATAGGCTTTACATACATACAATATATTTTCTCTCTAATTTAGCTGTAAATAGACGATTAAAAATTCAACAATAATTCGGATTTATGATTCAATGACCTCATAATAAAATATGAAAAACTTGTTTAAAATATTAATGGTGCTTTTTAAAATTTTAACCATAAGAATCATTCCGTTAAATATTGTTATTGAATATTAGACTAAATCGTTCTTAAAATTTAATGCTTTTTTAAAAATTAACCCATTATAAAATGGATCTGCTATCGTAAAAATTTGTAGGTTTAAAAAATCATCATTCCAAATTCAATTTAAATCGTATGACATTCATATGGAAAGACCATTGCACAATTTGTTACAATTCTGAAATTCACTTGATATGTGTTGAATATGTAATGAATAAAATAAAAAATTATCAATAATTAACAATTCAGGAATAATTCATGTTTATGGTTATTAAATATTGAGGATTATACAGATTTATGCATATTTTTCACACCCATGTGTTGAATAATCAGTGCAAATTTATATTAATGTTACTTGTAAACTTTTTCTCAAAATTCTTAATTGAATACATACATACATACATACATACATAATGAATGACGAGTTTATTTCATGTCCCAATCTGTGTACATTTTCTCTAAAAGAAAAAATTGAAATAATCTCATTACAAAACTTTATGTGTCTTAAAACTCCTCTCACATACATTTAAAATTGAAGAAGATAAACCCATTTATTAATTAAGAAAAATCAAGAGTTATGCAAGGTATCAACATATGTATTCTAGGTTTAATCAAAAGTTGTCTACTCACCTTGAAAGCATATTTAATCAGGGAAGTCTTTTATGTTAATAATAATATGGTGTAATCATGTTATAAGTAAAAATATAAAAATATAATTACATTATTAAAAATTATTGTGTATAATCAAATACTTCTAAGTAGTAATGTGGATATATATATATATATATATATATATACATATACATACATATTTATATTTATATGTTTATTTTTTCTTTGAATAATTTATAACTTTTAGAAAAAATAACTTTCAGTAAAACTTTTTGTGATTGAAAACATCAAGAATATTAATAAAACAATATCATTTATAGATTCTTTATAAAATTAAACCACAAGTAAATAAATAAATTCATATAACCTGTTTATATTTTAAAAATTAAATATAGTAAAATAAATAAATAAAATTTTATTATTTTCTATAATTATGTCTATAAAATTAATTATTTTGGTAAATCACACCATACTAATAGTAATATGTTCATTTCTATTATTATTTAAATAAATAATTCTAACATATTTTGAAGAAGTATATTAAGATAGAGCCACATAAAGTTGTTCATGAATAAATACTAAAGTTTAAAAGTCTTTATTTATATTTTTTATTAATATTTTATGATGTTTATTATTAGTCATTGCATATATAAATTTTATAAAAAAAATAACTTTGAAAGTAAAAAAACATTAACAATGATGAAAATAAAAAATTATTAAATTAATTTTTACTAACTTATTTTTTTAATCTTGTTTATGGTGCTGGTGCTACAAAGTAAATAGAAGTTCTTTGTCTCAAAAAGCAACATTAATATTAAATTGTTTTTACTACCTTCCTAATTTTTATCTATATTTAAATATAATTGTCTATTATATTTTATAATATGATTTTTTTTTCTTTATTGTTAATAAATTTACATAGAAATACTGTAAAGCTTGCTCACAAATCCAACTCTTCAATGAATAAAAAAATTCAACATTTTTGTGTGATAACACAACTATATAGTGAAAAATAAAAATATAGATGTTATTATAGAAGAGTCTAGCAAAAAGATGTAGTAGAAAAAATGATGTAAGAATAAATGATAGAAAGGTAGAAAAAGATTTAGTCTTAATGTTGTCTTTTTATAGAAGGGACTTCTATTTATTTTGTGGAGGTATAAATAGTCCAAATCAAAGTAAATAAGATAAAAAATTGATAGATGCATGTTAAGAAAAGAGTTAATAGTAGGATAAAGAAAAAATTACCTCAAATTATCAAAAATTGATATCCAAAGAGGACCTGTTGTCAACCTAGGTCAAAATCAGATCCCAAGGAATAAAACAACATCTATATAGTGACTTTGGAGTTTTTTGGTAGATTAAAGAGTTAGATTTGAGAGCAAACTCGAGGAGAGATTTTGGGCATTGATTTTATATCAATTGAATCAACATGGAGTTTTTGAGGGATTTTCAAAGATAGTGATGTTCTTCGTTGGTTTAGATTTTGAGAAATAAAAATATATTTACAAATTTGAGGATTTCTTGAATTTTATGGTGTGTGTATGAATGAATTTTGTACAGTGTGTTGATATACTAGTTATAAATTTGTGCAAATTTTGAGGTCAATTAAACAATTAGATCAAAGTATATGAATGTTGTTGTAGATTGAGGTTTCAAAAATTGGAATTTGAGGGTTAGTGAGTATTTCTAAGATCTTCAACAATTTATGAATTGGATTGAAAAGAATTTTTTTATGTGGATATTAGACTCAATTTCTAACGTTTATGTGAAATTTGAGAATAATTCAACAATTCAAGAAGGAGATATTGGTGCTGGAAGTTCAATATTTAGGTTGGAATAGGAGGTTGCCTAACACCTGATTGGATTATCTTGTATTTTTCTCAATTGATAAGTGTAATTGATTTCATCTTTCTTAAGCTTGTTTCTAATTAAGGTATTAAAGAGCGTGCAAATTTTGAGTTGATATCAATGGTTTAATCATTAGTTTTTAAGGTTCTAATTTGCTACAGGATTTGATTTAAGATTTGTCTATGGTTTTGTTAGGGTTTAGGATTTTCTTGGGGTTTGGATTAGAATTTTATTAGGATTTATTTAGGATTTGTCTAAGATTTAGGATTTTATTTGGATTTTATTAGGATTTGAAATAGGATTTGGTTAAGATTCAATTAGGATTTTAATTAGGATTTGATCTAGGATATGGTTAAGGTTTAATTAGGATTTCGATTGAAGTTATATTAAAGTTTTTATCTTTAGTATTTTTTTAGGATTCTTTCTTATTTCTTTAAAAGTTTTTATTTCTATTATTTCTTTGAGATTATCATTATTTCTTTTAAGGTTTATTTATATATTTTAAAAAAGATTTCTTGTTATTTTTCTTTGGCATTAGTTTGGAAATTCTTTGTATTTCTTTTGTAACTTCTTTTAAATTTATTTTGGATTGATGAAAGTTCTATGAGGGTTGTTTAGGTCTATTTAAGGTTATTTAAGATTCTATTAGATTTGGTAGGATTATTCTTGTATTTTTACTTACCGTCCATAGCTAGGTGCTCAGTGCATTCTCAAGCAAGAATACATGTAATATGACAATATTTATTGTAGGTGTGTAGTTTTGTATTTTAAGATCTAGTTTTGACTTTGGTTCACAACTTGTTTTCTTTAGATATCAATATAAGTTCTTTTTATGTAATTTTTTCTAAAATCTATTCTTTACGTTCTATTTTATTCAACTTTAGTATTATGGATTTGTGAAAATAGTTGTGTTAAATGTGTTAAATTTTTATTATAACATTGGACTCAATTAGATAATTAAATTAAGATTAGTAGAGATTTAAGTGAATTAAGATCTTAAAAATTGGATTTTGAATGTCAATGAGTTTTTTTTAATAATTTTGAATAATTTTTCAATTGAATTGAAACAATATTTTTGTGTGCTAATTTTTTATTTAATTTTTAATATTTAAGCAAATTTTAATAGTAAATTATTCCATTGAAAGGGAGATATTGGTACTCAAAGGTTTGATTGAAGTTGATTAGAATATGATAAGATTCTTTTAGATTGTTTAAGATTGCCATCAAGGTGTTTACAAACATCTTATGCATTTTTTTTGAGTTGTAAATCCAAATTCAATGTAAGATCAAATCCTTCTATAACTAGATGCCTAATGTATTTTTAGGCTAATTTTTAAATTATATAATAATATAAATAAATAATTATCAATAATGTTATAAGGCAATCAATCTTAAGTTCTAGTTTTGATAGATGTATTTCATTCAACTTCAATAAGTTGAAATTTTTAATTAGATATAAATTTCTATTATCTATTCTATTTTTTATAATTATTTTATTATGATTTTATCACATACAAATAATTTTTTATTAAAATAACTTGAATATTTTTAAAAAATATTATAAGCTTGCTTATTGGTATCATTAAAATTATTTTGTGCTTATAAGAATTGACTGATTTATTAAATATTTATTGGTGTATATTTTTTTCAACTCTCAATTGAATATAAATTGTTTAGATTAAAGATTATATACATAAATCTATATTCATATGACTTAGAAAGGATATTATATTTTTTAATATGAAAATTATATTTAAACCATATTTCATTCATAATTTTATATAAATAGTTTTTAATGTTTTTAAAGAAATATCTTATAATATATATTCTTCATTATTTTTTTAAAAAAAATTCTTAAATATTAAAGGTGTTTTACTTAATTGTGCATAAACATATTTTTCTTTAATTTATGTACATTATTACATTGAAAAAATATTGAGCATTAAATAGAATCACCAATCATATCTTGTTATTATTTTTTATATTACCACATTAAGGATTTTTTAAAATATTCCAGTATAATCTATACTACTTCCATCATATATATATATATATATATATATATATATCTTTGAATGACTTATTAAAAAATTATGAATAATGATGATTTTGTATTAATAATTTATTCTAAATGATTAAAATTGTAATTTGTAAATTATTTGTATATGAATCATTCTTTGATATAGAACAAAATGTTGT